GCAGAGCACAGGCAGAACAACACTGTGGGTGTGACTGTTCCAGCTCTGGGGCTCTGAAAATGCTTCCCTGGCATGAGGGCCTGGAGAAGGGCCCCTGGAAAGGAGGTGTTAGGTGTCACTAAGGAACTTTTGCAGGAATCAGTTGGAATAACAATAGTGAGAGGAGGCTGTAGTGCAGATGAGCCTTTTGCTGGTCGAGGCAGGGACTCACAACACCATGGAGGGGCCAGAGGAGCCTTGAAATAAGTGGGTGAAAGTCCTGGGGCATGAAATGAATGAGGGCTGGTCTGGATGCCTCAGCCAGTTTAATACTGATCAGGACTTTCCCTGAAATTTTCTCTGATGTTATTTAGACACATCTGCTTTTTGTTTTCTACCTGCCTTTGCTTTGCTGCTAAGTTACATCTTTCATCCAGCCACACAGTGCCAGTTGGGTGTTGTTACACCAGCCTTGCAGCCAGTATGGGATACACCAGGCTGTGGTGGTTGGTCTGTCATCTGCGGTGTTTCCAGTAGGTGACACTTTTACAGCAGAGAGTCTCAGAGTGACAAATGAAGAGCTGAGACATAGCCATTTTTTAAAGCTGGGGGTTTTTTTGTTTGTTTGAAAATCAAATGATTAAAGAGACCATGTCAGGTCTGGCAAGTCTACTGAGTTCCTCTGTTCAACACTGGAAAATGCTGTTGGCTAAGCTTGCTAAAATAATTTAAAATGAGCAGATTGCATATTGATCTAGTGCTATGTAATTAACCCTCTGAGAGCAGTCAGTACACAAGTGTACAGTTGGCGTTGGATCAGGTAATGCTACTTCTCCAAGGGTTAAAGTGATTCAAACTTCAACATGGCTTTTTGCAAACTTGTCAGGTTTATGCACATAGCTTTCTGTCAGTGCTTCTGAGGCTACATTTACACAGGAGAGGAATAAAGAAATAGGTTGAGATCTTCTAAGCTAAAACCAGAAATAAAAAATCTACACTACTATAAGCAAAACTATCTAAGGGGACTAAACCCAAAGCTGCTCTACAGACTAGTTAGGTTTGGCTTTTTTTTTTTTAATTTTAAATCTTTGAGGCATAAACTTTGTTAAAAAGTTACGTTTAATCCAATGTAAAAAATTATGGTTTGTGTTTTTGCATTAAGAAAAAAATATAAAAATAGTTTGTACATTATAAAGTTCATCTTAAATTTCTTGCAGTTCTACAATAATATTACTATGTAATTTGTATTCAGTACCCATCTATCAAGTAGGAAAAAAATAGTGCCCCCTCTACCTCTGTGTGGTGTCATTTTTCTCTTCAGCAGTCTGGAATATATTTCTTTCAAACAGGAAAAAAAGTCTGCACTGGACTAGATTGTGGTCTCTCAGAAGACTGTAAACCTGAAGTAAATCCAGAACTTGGAATTATTTGGGATTTACATCAGTTCATGGAGATCATAATCCATCCACAGTGTTTTTTATCAAACTCAAAATATAAATACAATACCAGAAACTGGTAAACATTTTAAAGCTGAAGAGAATACATTAACATTTGGCATCATCATTGGAATGGAGGGAGAATCTTTTAGAAAAAGCTAGAATAAGTTTTTTTTTAAAAGTTCTACACTGAATCATGAAAAAGAGGTTTCTTATCTCGCCAGGGCCCAGATCAGGGTAGTGAGTGCTGCTCTGCTGCCACACTGCCCCGTGATGGGAGAGCTCACACCTCTCCCCATCTGCTCAAAGGCCCCGCTGGGCCAGCGTGTTCCTCAGCCCTGGGCCCGTGTGATCCTGGGCTGCTGGCTCCCCACATGCCCTTCCCTGCTCCTGCTGTGGAGGTGCAGAGCTCCATCACAGCCTACAAAACCAACAGACTGATTTCTGAGGCTTTGGCCAGTTAGTCTGGTGGCATTTCTGACCATCCCCAGCTGCAGAGGACAGTTCCTAACAGCAGGGCAGACCCTGCACCTGACCAATGCCCTGAGCAACCACCAGCCCTTCCAGCAGCCTTCCAGTCTGTGCTCGCTCCTTTGCTCAGCTGGTGCTCCCTTTTCTTCTGCCTTGTACAACCGGGGAATGGGATATGTCTGCACACAGACCCATTACCTTCAAACATCATCCTCCTCTTCTCAAACAAGTTCAAAAAACCTCATTGGTTTAAATATTTAATTTCACTTTTACCTGGTCAGATCAGAATGCTGGCATCACTATGTTTCCTTTTCAGACATATGGGCTTTTAAAAAATACTCCTATTCCAGCTTTTCCAGCTCCGTGGTGTAATGGATATGAGAGATCTGTGAGTGACTACAGTTTGAAGTAGCTTGGATGGCAGGGAGTGGAAGCCAAGGTTAGACTGATAGCACCTACCACCTACAGCAGCAAGCTGGGGATGTGGCTCTGCTCTCTGCTACCCTTGGAGATAATGCAGTAAAAAAGAAAACAAAACCCCAAACAAACAGTAACAACAGGAAAAATAAAATGCAAAAAAAAAACCATCACAGGGCAGGGACAAAAGGCTTGTTTACTCATCAGCACTTTAAATTTTGGCAAGTGCTTATTCTTTTACCTGTTTTTTTTAAGAATTGCTTTACTATCTTTATCACCCCTCCCCTCCAAAAAACCACAACCAAGTGAGTTTTCCATCATTCTTAAGTCATCCTGTCGCCAAACTTTGCATATTTTACAGTGAAGTGGGGATTTGGCTGGGCCTCTGGTCCTCGTCCAGGGGCAGCGGAACCAGGTGGGCGAGCGGAGTGCCCGGTGTGGCCAGCGGTGGCGAGGGACTATGTCCCCGAGGAGGCGCGGCTGTAAGCGGGGGGCGCGGCTGGAGCCGGGGAGCGCCGGGCGCCGGGTCTGGAGGGGCCGGAGGCGGGCGGGAGGTGTGCGGACATGGGGCAGGGGTCGGGCTGGTCGCGGTGTGCGGGGTTGGCGGGGGCTGCGAGCTGCTCTGACGGGAAGGCAGAGGGGATGCATCGGAGTGCGTCCGGTGGGGATGGAGGGGAGT